ATATATATATATATATATATATATATATACATATATATATCTGAGAACACATGTTTATATGTCACTCAGGGAAGAACACTCTGCTTTTCTTTGCTATCAAAGGTTTTAAAGCTTTTATTGAAGCAGCCGTGAACTACTCGGATAGGCTGTGGTTTTCCTTTACAGTAAATGAACTATGAAGTTAAAAAGCTCTGTGAAAGATCTGTCCCAAGTTTTTCTTCAATTCAGCATTACATTGAACTGAGTAAATTTTAACATTTGTAACAGTTCTTTCAACTTTCCACTGTCCCAAATAGTTTGTTTTTTTTGGATTTGTTAAGGCACTGTGGCTTCTTTTCTGATGTTTGGTGTATTCCAGGCAAAGTAAAATGTACAGATTTTGCATCGAGTTCTACATTGTTGTTCCTGTTCCTTTCGCGCTATGGTTTTTACATTACGACTTATTCTCACATAGATCTTAAAAATAGAAATACTTTGTTTTGATCTGCTCATCTAAAGAAATTCCTCATTCATTTATTGAGTAGAAAATACTGTAAGTCCATTTAAGTTATGAACTATTGGCTGAAGCTTTTTTTTTTTTTCTTTGAAAGATGAATGCTTGTTCTTTGTGGAAGCTACGTTATTTTTAAGAATCCATTTACTGTTAAAGCAACTGATTTGCCATTGACGTTTCTAACATCTATTTTATATTATTTCTTTGTGTAATCTTCAGGTTGCAGGCTCACATGTAAATTATTGTAACGTGGTTTAATTGCTTACTAAAAGCTGTTCATTTTTTTTAAAAGGAAGCGGAAGTGCTGTGCGTACTTCCTATTTTTGTCTCATAGACATATTTGTCGTGAAATTCTGATCTATTTTTAGTGGTGGAGTTTTGGAACAAAAGCAGTGAGCGGAGCTAAATGAAGCATGGTTGTATGCTTACAGATTTATGAGGCAGATTTTCTTGACAGCTTTTTATGAGTGGTAACTCTAGAAAAAAACACTTATTGGCACTAATACGCTTTATGGTAAGTTTATCTTTCCAGGTAAACTTCAAATTCTTTTCTCCATTGACTTTTTTGCGAATAAACAGTTGTTTTATCACTGAAGGTGTACGTAAGCAAGACCGCCATTTGAATACTGTTAAGTTTTTTAATTTAAATGAAATTGTGAGCAGTACAAAATGAAGCGTTTATTGCATTGTAGCTTCCAAGTGTTCTTATAATCTTCCAATTACATGATGTATTTCATTCATCAACATTAAAATTTGTTTGCAGTTGAAAATCAATTTTTTTTGCTGTATTTGTGATTTGGAAGACCTGGAGGGGAGATGTAGGGACTAAACTTTGTGATTTCTTTTCTCTTTCCTGATTTTGAATTTTTTATTGTCATAGTATGTGGGTTTTTTTGCTTGCTAAGTGAACTCTTTCATTAGATGATATATCTTTTCGTTAGTAAACTACTTTTAGCAATGGAGAAACCTGAAGTTGATCTGCGCGTTGTTTATTCTTTAATCAAAAACGGAACATTACTAAATGAAGTCGGTAAAGTTCCTGCTGAATTGTTGAAGCCATATTTTCCATCTCTAATTAGTGCTACAATATCGGCGCAAAAAGCAACTGCATCGGCTTTTGTATGTTTACAGATCATTTGTTTCTTTGCTTAACTAAGTCTTCGTGATGATGCCTTACTGAGTGCAAATTCTTTTTGCGTGGCTTTAGTTAAAAACTTGACTTAGATCGAGATTTTAGGAGGCCCTTCGAGATCGTTTACTAGAATTTGCCGATTGCAACAGCTATGCTGAACTTTTGTCGGTTGATGCTGCGGAGTTTGAAAGAGCTGTCACCGAATCAAACAAAAATAGTGAAACGAAAAGGAGGAAATTTGAGTTTAATAGCCTCACTGCATTAGATAAGCTAAGAACAGTAGCAGATTTCCTTGATGAAAGTAATAGTCTTATGCACATTTAGCTTTACTATTATTCCTTGTCTCATGATTATTTTTTAGATATTACTGATGCAACAAGTTATGCAACTACGTATGTTATGGAATATTTCAATCGAAGGAAGTGTTTGGATGAATTAGTGTGCGCTGTTGTAGCCTGTGCGAAACTGATGCCAACTCGTTTTGACCTTCCGCTTGTTGTGCGCCAACTACTCGTGATAAGTAATGCTCCGGAAATTATTTGTTTGGTAAGCTTAAGCTTTTTGCCTGCAGCGGATGTAGTCTGTTTTAAGTGTTTTCCGAGATTAGTTTAAATATTTTGAAGTATATTTTTGTAATTTATTTGTTTTTTTTCAGGCTTGTCAAGCAAAATAGAGCAATGTATTTGCAGTAAATAGTTAATATTCATTTACAGGCAGCATGTAATCTCCCTGACTCGCTGCGAGTTACGGTCGACGCATTGTTGTCAGTACAGCTTCCGGATGAAGAAAGCGTAGCCGCAAAAAATCGAAGTTTAGCACTGCTTAAGGCAAGTTTTAATTTAATTACTGACACTGCCTTTTACTTTGATCGATGTGGTTTAATTTTTTCCCCATCGACTCAGTTGGGTTTTTCAGATCCTTTCAGTTGACCCTTCCCTTGTTGGCACTTGCATTGATCGGCTTCTATCGTCTTCAGGGGACATTAATCTTGTGCTGACTGTTATGTGTAAATGCTTGGATAATTCAGAGTTTATTTCGAGACTTTTACATTCTTTGCATTCGAGATCACCAATCGGGGCTTTTATTCAGAAGTCAAACAATAAACCGTCTGTCAAGTTGTTGCGTGACAGAGTTTCAAATGCCATTTTGGACTTCTCAGGAAAGTTAGTTTTATCATAACGTTCCGGAACATTGCCTCTAATCTCGATTATTAGTCGGAAGTGAGGTGAAATTTTTGAAATTTGTAAATAAAAAGAATATCTTTTTTTGTCAATCTTATATCTGTGTATTACTTTGTCTTTCTTAGCTGAAGTGAAAAAGCTATTATTTTAGCTCAGAAAACGAATTTTGTGAAGAAACTCGCATGGCACAACTTCTCGCTGCGCTGAGGCATTTAGCTGGTATTCGTTTAAGTGCCGATGAGTCACGGAGTTGGCTTTTGTTTCTCACCAGGACAGAGTGTGAAGACGACCAGTACATCTGCGTTGCTTTAGCTGCTTTGGTGGCTTATCCGCAGCTAATTCCGTTAGTTCTCTGTAAAAATGAGCTTGCTGACTGCTGTTTCGTTAGTTGGTATTAATGTTTATATTGACATCGATTTTACAAATTCGCTTTGCAGACCACACCTAACGGAGGAAGAAGAAATCGAGGCATCTCTGATAGCATTTTTTGACTGGTTGAAACAACTTGCAAGTGGGGACATGCGTCCTATGCAACAATTCTTTTTGCTACTTTCGATACACCTTCATGCAGCCCAGTGTGAGCAGATCAATGCTCTTATATCTAGTGAATTGAAATTTAAAGTGCGTATGTGCAGTACTTGAAAATTAGCCAGTTCTGGTGTTCTACTGTTTTCCTTGCTTCTAAGCAAGTTTGGTTGCGTTTATTTAACTCTGAGCGTATCTTTTTTTTTATTCCTTATGGTTGTCCTAATGTCATTTGTTAACTTGTACTGTTAGCAACTTCTCCTGAAATATTTTTCATCAGTTCAAGGAAAAGATTTGAAATTTTTTTTATCAAAATATTCTTCATTAATTTAGTCTTCGCGTTTTTTAGAGAAAAGCCTTAATTTTGATTTTACAGTACTAATGTCACTGTTTAGGTAGTTGTCAACATTCGAAGTTTGGCGGCATTGAGGAATTTATTTTTACGGCATGGCTTGTCGGAACGTGACATTGCAGAACTTGCTTCGCGTGTTGGAGTTACCCGGACTCTTTGTAGCACGGTTCAAGGTTATCTTCCGGTACACTGTATTACGCAGCTTCTTTCTACACATTCCTTTTCAAAGCACCTCATCCCAGTCAGGGTATATGTTTTATGGTTTATTTTCTTTCAGTATTTTTTAAATTTGGAAGTTAAGGAACACTTTGATCAGGTTTTTTTTTCTGCTTAGTATTAGCAAAGTTAAATAGTCAATTTACAGTTTCTAAATGAAAGTGCTTCAAAATTAATATTTCTTCAATGAAGTGTTTAACATAGGAATGGGTATCGGCTCAAATACTGGAGTGTACGACTCCACTGCATCCAGCTGTAGTGGATCTTATGAATGCATACGCCGCCAGTTGTTTTTCCTCGACCGAAAGCGATTCAAATAATGCTCCTCTTTCTGAGCAATTTGTTTTGGTAGTTCTTAGAGTAAATCTAAATTTTTACTTTTTTTTTTGGTCTCAGCTGATTGCCTTCACCTACCTAAAGCGTTGGAAGATGTTCTCTCAATTATTGCTTTTTGAATTAAGAAGTTGTAAGTGTTAAGTAAATCGAGTTTAATTTAAACTGTTGTTGAGCGGTGTATGGCGGATTACGGAGTTTCTAATTGGAGGAAATGTTACAGGAACTATTTTCTGGTGAAATTATGGATGATGTCAGAATTGTTCCAAGAATTGTGACCTTCTTCTTCTTTCTTTCCTACAAGAAAGCTTTCGACAACGTGCAGAAAGCTGGAGTTCGTTTCTTTTACAGGTGATCTTTTTCTTTTTTTTTTAACTGAAATGTAGTTGACAGATAGGATTTAGTAATTATACTGAGGCAGTAATTCCTGTACGTTATCTGTTGAACGTGGTAGAAGCTCGTCCGTTCGAATTTGAGGCTGTGCGGTCATCTCTCTTCCTTCTCTGTGGCCAGTATTATCCTTATATGCTTCCGATTCCTGATTCGCTTATTCCATCAATTAGGAGAGATTTTTCTTCTGAACAGTACCACATGTTTGTTACTTTAGCACATTTAGATGTTTTGATTTTATATCCTGTTAGTACTAAATATGAGATTGAAATCACTCAGTTGAGTGAAATGTTGTTGTATAATTATTTATATATAGTATTCTTCAGAGGGCGGTTTCCGGTTTCTCCTGACGATGTTAATATTATTCTGAAGTCGGTCGAGGGTGACCCTTATCTTGCTATTCGTATTTTCGAGAAGCTAGAGTCTCAGTCCTTGAGAGTTTTGATACAATACTGTGAATGCATAATCATTGCTATGAAAGCTTGCTTACATGAGTTTGCTCCCTTACCTTTTATTAATTCGGTGACCACGGTTTGGAAGAAACTTGAAAATGTTATTCCCAGGAAGCTTTTTTTGGTTTGTTTCTTTTGCTTTCAGAAGTAATTATATTGTTGTTTCTTCTCCCACAATGATTTCAGTTTAGGAAACTGTGAAGGCTTGGACCGGTGAACCTCTGACTCACGAAAAATTAGCTGAGCAGCCGCTGTTATTATTTCGTTGTAATGAAGCGGTCTTCGAGAACGAACAGCTGTTTTCATGCTTTCTTCATTTTTTATCATTCTACACGCTTGCTGGGAGAACATCCTTGGCGCAAAAGCTTCATGCTTCGTTAGCGACTCTAGGAAACAAGTAAATATGAGTTTCAATTTAGTTGTCGTTACATATGCTGTCTGCTAATTTTGGGTTGTTTACTCCATACAACACAGTTGTTTGAATAACGTCGGTTCCTTGGTAAAGCGAACGGTCAAGACAACATTTTTCAATCGTAGGCATTCGTTCCTAGAGTAACAAGGCGGAGACGCTTGAAAAATGAGTTGTAGTTTGATTATTCCTCCTTGACTTACGTTTTAAAGGTTATTCAAGACTTCTGATATTATAATAGTGAAAATACATATTTGTGAAATGAGGGAATGTAGGTGACCG